AGAAGAAAGAAAGAAAAAGAAGAAAGAAAGAAAAGCTAGCCAGGCAAAGGCTGTAAGGACTCTAGAGAATCAAGCATTACTAAGGCAGTAATGGGGTTGGAGCCCTTTTGAATGAGCTGGGAAAGGAGTCAAATTACTGACGGTCCCCAACTTACAATGATTTGACTTAGCATGATTCAACTTGATGCAAAACCCATAGACATTCAGTAGAAACCACACTTGGGGCTGAGTTTAGATCTATGCCAGGCTAGAGGTATGCAGTACAATCCCCTCTCCTGAGGCTAGGGAGTAGTAGCAAGCTACAGGGCCCAATCAGTCCCACACATGAGAGACTGATATTGTACAGGTGTGTCCACCCCAGGGCCCATAGGCCCCACATGGCGCTGGACAGCCCCATGTGACCATCAACCTGTAACATCACTGTGTGATTTTAAGCAGCATTTTTCATCACTTGATCGCATGGTGCTCTAGGTTGGGCTGTGTAGCAGGTGACAACTGAAAGCTTTGCAAGGTGCAGCACTAACTCTGCCTCCTGTGCCCACTGCAGTGACTCAGTTGAGACCCGCATGTATCAGGTTTTAATATGCTGTGCAATTTAGCAAGTCACATGCCTCCACTTACCTGTATTTGTACCTAAAAACACAGGTACTTATTTGTATCAAGCAGACATGGAAATTTTCATTTAATTATTGAACTTAGGCAACCACTTCCATTGCAGCAGCTATTGATGCTTTAGTTTCCTAAAAACAAGTTAAAACATCTCACTACTTTTATGTTTCTATTGCCCTCCTTTTTTACCATTATGCTAAAATTTGTTTTAAAAGGAAGCTTTGTCACTTGTATATATTAACTATATTATATATTTTATATGTAGCCCTAGACAATTCCTCTCCTGGCTTATGGCCCAGGCAAGCCAAAAGGTTGGATGCCCATGCCATACAGAGTACTGTGTTTTTTGATTGATGACCTGCCATGAGTTCAACCAGGATATAACCCTTTCATAAGCTGAAGAGCCTGGGCACAACCTTGACTTCTGAAATTTGAGAATAGATATGTGGATTCTGGGGTCCTAAAACTGTTCCAGCAAATGCTCCTGCTCCTTCCCTTGTAGGGCAGTTCAGACCCCGAGGCCAACTCAGTTGTTGAAGCCCTAGCCACACATCGGAATCACCCAACGTTTTGGCTTGGCTAGCGAATGATCCCCAGAGCTCTCTTGAGCTCAAAGGGAGAGGTGTGGAAAGGTGATTGGCTTATGAGCATGGTACACTCACAGTGCAGTCATCCACGATGAGTTCAGCAACTGAGTGTGCTGTGAGGCGATAGGGCCTGAGTAGTGGTCGGTAACTGGGGGTGTGACCTGGATGAGATCTTCCTTCCCGAATCCTCCCTTTGTTCTGCTTCCGGGTCACCAGGACATGAACAGCTTTGCCCTGCCAAACTTTTTTCACCATGGAGCCAGCGGACCATGGACCGAAAACATGAGTCAAGATAAACCTCTCCTCTTGTAAACTGTGGGTGTTGAGTATTTTGTCCCAGGGATGAGAACGTAGCTAAGACATCTGGGAAGCTCTTAAACACTATGGATGAAATACTGCTTCAGACCAGTTAAATCAGAAGCTCCAAACTGAGCCAAACTATTGCTAATTAAAAATATTCCTAAGGGGCTGGGGATTTAGCTCAGTGGCACAGCGCCTGCCTGGCAAGCGCCAGGTCGTGAGTTCGATTCCGGGTAGGAAAAAACCCCCAAAAAACCAAAAAAATTATATATATATTCCTCACGTGATTCAAAAGTGCAGCCAGGTGTAAAAATCATCGTCTGCAACTATCATTATCAATATTTTAGTTAATAACTCTCAATTATTAGGGCTTTCCTTCCCATCTAGATTAAGTTGGAAACTTACTATAGATAATTGTCTCAATCATTTTTTTCTTCCTAATTCTTATTAAAGCATTTCAGTATGTTATTAGGTTCTCCAACTCAAAGGTACTTCTATGCTATAGTGGTCCAGAAGATGTACTCTCTGAGTTACACTTTCTCTAGGGGAAATGATTTGTTGGTAAAAGCGCAGGTTGTAATCTTATCATGTAGGGTCACTACACTTTATAAATGGAGTCCCTTGGTTGTTTAGGAATACTTTATAGATAACATCATAGCACAGATGATATGGACGAAACTGATTAACCCCCCCACACACACCACCAAAAAGAGGTTTTTCTATTTTCAAGTATGGGAGAGCACCTTTTTTCATCCGAGCAGAAAGACAAGGTGAGGGGTCTGGTACATTCTATTATAGTGATTGGATGGAAGTTTAGGACACAAACAGATGCAGCGTAGATGCCTTTTACTGTTCTTCCAGTCTTGCTCCAGTCAAATCCTCATTCCCAACTTCGCTGTCCAGGATTTCACTCTGGGCAGCAGGTGCCTTTTCAGGCTTTTAGCTTCTGTCCTTAGGCCTTGAGGTCTTTTCCCCACCTCCTCTCCTGTGTTCCTCAGCTGCACTCTGTCTTTGCTCCTAGGTATTGCATTCCCCCCACCACCACCACCTCCCAGGTTTCCACCTCTTTCCTTTTCAAAATACTACACAGATGTTGCCTTGCCAGTATTATCTAGCTTGTCTTCTATTATCGTTACATTTCAAGAAACATTCATAGCTTTTACATGGATTCTTCTGGCATCTTTAAACTCTTCGAAATTACAGATACCCAAGATGCTTACATGTCGGCTTTACAAATCACAAATAAGTTAGTAACTTGGCAAATTTAAGTTGGGTTCCCGCCAAAGGATTATAGTGTCTTTCTAATTACTCTGAAAGACCTCGGACAGTGACATCATGGGAAATCTGGGTTCCACATCCTCTTCTTTAGAACCATCTTTTACGTTATTACAGTGTTCTCGTTTTATTCATGAAGAAACTGAGGCGTGAAGTGGTTGATAATCTCTCCCCAGGTCAAAGTCTGGAGAGTCACCAAGCATGGTGGTGCACGCCTATAATCCCAGCACTCGGGAGGCTGAGGCAGGAGGATCCTTGCGAGCTCAGGACCAGCCTGGGCTACAAAGTGAGCTCAAGGCCAGCCTGA